GCAAACATACGTTAGCCCCTTTGTTAAAGTAAGTATATCATTCAAAATTGAAAAAATATGCTGAAAACCTCCTTGTGACCAATTTGCTTTTAAACTGGTATTTAATACCGGTATTACAGTGTGAACATTCTAGCAAGGGGCTTTAAAGTATAATATCAATACCTACTTCATGAACGTGCTCAACAACAGCGAGAGCAATATGTATAATTATACTCGTGAAACATTTTTAATTTTTGAAATGTCTCCTTTAGTTCATGGTATGACTCCGAAATATGAAGAATCCTTAGCACAATATAGCGCAGCAACATTTGAACCAATATTTCAGGAGGTATTGATGTTTTGAAATATCGCTTGCTGAAAAAACGTCGAGCTTTTGGGTCGAAATATGTCTCTCAAAAAAATTAAATATATCCATTCGGATTTTTACACATTTTATTAGATCTAAGACGTTTATCTAGAGATATTTACAATAAATTGGATTAATTTTAATTTCAATGTTATTTTAAGTAGTTAATAAGTGCTATAACATAAATGTGTTTATTAAATTTTTGTTCAATTTTTCTAATATTGGTCAAATAGATTCAACAAAATTGTGTAAATTATTTGAAAAAAAAACAATTTCAAACATTTAGGTTTTTACTATGTGAATATTTTGTTTAAATAATTTATCTTTATCATCGCCAGGAGTCAAACAAGAAATAATAGCTTATGTTTCATAAAACAATGACAAATATGTAAAAAAAAATATATCTATTTGAATGTTATAGAGATGTTGGAATATTTATTCATTCAGTCTAATAGTCTATTAGAGACATATCAAATCAAACACCTTTCATTTCTCCTTCGGTGTTACTGCTACATATCTTCCTATTTCCTGATGGTTATATCTACTTAGACACCACTTCCGGCTTACCTCACATTTTTGGTGAAAATCAAAACCATTTTTCTCTTCATGAGTTCGACCAGGTCTTGGTGGTTGTTTTATAAACAACTTAGTCATATCTAACCTACCTATAAGGGGCAAAATAGTCCAACCGTAGTCTTAGCCGTAGCCATTGTCAGTCAAGGAAGAGCAACAAGGCCTCCTTTATTGATAGTTGACCACTGGCGATGACAGTCCATATCTCAAACGTATTGGGACCCATTTTTCAAAAACTACCATATAATTGTAGCATATGTCATTCATTTATTTTTTGGACCACCCTGTATAAAATTGATTCATTGATACCATTAACATGACCATATTGAAAAAATAGTTCAAAATAATGATGTGCGTGCTGATTACGTAATTTGCTTGTATTTCTAAGCAAAATAACGTCAAATTTATAGTTGAAAAACCTAAAACATACTCTTGGAATTTATTTCATATAATTTTCTGTAGCAAAGTGTACAGTGTGACCCCAAAAACAGAACCCTCTAAAAGTGTAATAATTTCTTAAATAACAGTCCTCTCCACCTAATTGTTTATGAACATGAACTAGAATCTATGGATAATAATATGATATAAAGTTTGTTACACGAATTGATTATTTGTGATACCATTGATGATCTTAAGAATGTGTCCAATTTTCGGAAAATCAACATTGAGACAAAATCATCTCTTTTATTGAGATTTTATGAGAAATTCACTAAAAGGAAATTCCAAAGAAGATATGAAATGAAAGTCTCATTTAATATTTGAATTGAAAAACGAAGAATAGCCAATGGTAAAACACCTAGTAAAAGATCAGATGACTGAAATTCCTGTCCTCTGAGCAAGAACATTTCAACTGGTCATTAATTGGATGAATTCTCAGGAATGATCCATCAAAACCATTGCAATACATGTGATTTCAAGTCAAATGCTAAATTATGAGTTGGAAGAGGAAGAAAAGAAAACTGTTAAACACCTGAATGGAATAGATGGTCAGCTAAAAACTATCTAGGGAGGTTTCTGTGAATGGGGGTATGAGAACACATGAAATCATTGTGTGTAATTACATAGAACACAGTTCCAAAATATCGCGCAGAAGGCGCTACAACACTCAAAGGTGACTAAAAGGTTGCTGGAAGACTTCCTCATATAATCACAATTGCAAAATGCAGCTAAACAAGAAGCTAAAATAATGTGATGGGCTTAAACAAACTATGTGTAACCTTTTGGTGGACATGAAAATCTTTCATTTTCTTTTCTTTCAGAATTGGGCACATTTTTAAAATGCCCATTACAAAACATTACAATATTAAATGTTATGTAACAAAGGAGCAGGTAGGTTATCGCAAACAATTTCAAACAACTTGAATTATGACTATTTTCTGATCATGAATATGGGTGTATCTTTTAAATCCATTCATTATCTTCAAGAAAAGTATATACAATGATAATTTAGTTAATCAGACCTAAATGATATTGAAGGGGCAATGGACCAATCAACATACTTTTTCAAAAATGGTGACCTAATTTTCACCAAAAATGCAACCTTTTATTATATTGTCGAATGCATAATTAGAATGTGCTTTGAGACATGTTCGATTTCCTCAAAGGAAAAGTTGATTGCTCCAGGGACTTTAAAGATACTGAATTTGGATGACCAAAATGGACTGAAACCAATGGATAGCATGAGCTTTTTCAATTGCGAAATAACATGGGGAACACTTATCTTAAAGCAATTAAGTTTTTCTTTCAAGAACTATTTGATGCATCAAAATAGAATAGTAATGCATTAAACATTGAACAAAAATGATTGCATTTTTGTTGAAAATGGGGTCAACATCTTTGAAAAAGTGTGTTGATGGGTTGATTGCTAGTTAAATATCTCCGAGTTTGTTCGATTTTATTATTACTGTATATTATTTTCTTTGAGATAATGAATTGATAAACCTGTCTTCTCATTGTCAGAAAATAGTCATAATCCAAGATATAACCATCTGAAATTGTTTGCGATAACCTACGTGCTCCTTTTGTCTCATATTGCCATCCATTGATTGTAATTTTTGTACATAAAAATGAAGCTGATTACATATGTACTAAAAAAATTATTTAATTTTTGGAGGGTTCTGTTTTTTTGGGCCACACTGTACTCCAAATCGTAAAAAGAGGTATTTCGTTTTAACTAAAAATTTTGACCCCTGCTAATGATACGCATAATTCAGCCAAAAACCCCGCAGAATATTGAATATGTGTAGGTATGTAATTATTAGGTCAAATATCGCTGCGCTATTGTGTTACCAACTCTTTTATTAGGCGTCCTAGGAATTTCACACCATTGACTACTTACCCACCCTGTTTCAAGACTGTTACGCCACCTCTGGAAACGAGGTTGGATGGCTGTTACGCGGTAAACACGATACAAAAAATATGTCATATTCCGCAACGAATATGGCATATTCACTTGCGGTGTATGACAGATTCACCTGCGGTATATGGCATACACACTCACCAATGAGAACGTGTTACGGAAGTACGCAATTGTCAATTGCATCGATTGAACGAACAAGTAAAACGTTATAAATTATTATAATGATTACTGAGTCAACAGTACTGTGTATCGAATATATTAACTTAGCAGAAGTATCAGTCACCAATCTCGCGTAATAAACTTACTCAATCAATTCAGGTCCAGGATTCATATATTAGTACTGTACGTACATGTACTAACTATATTGGTAATCCGGAGTAGTTTTACATTTAGAGTCGATTCTCGCAACCAATCAAATCAAGAATTTCTGTATCACGTTTTCACCTGCGGTATATGTCATATTCACCTTCGGTATATGGCATATTCCGCAAGTGAGTTTGACATATTCAGCAGGTGAGTATTGGGTATTCACTGAAATCAATGTATCGCATATTCACTGCGGAATATCGCATACTCACCTGCGGAATATGCCAGGTGAGTATGGCATATTCACCCGTATCACAAATACCGCGCAACCATGAAAGTATGCCATATACCGCGTAACAGATGGCTACGTTCACTGATTTATCCAATAAAATGACCGCGATGGAACCGAAAACCGGGCCGAAAACTAAGGTTGGTGCATTATGTTCTACTACTGTGAATCAATGAAAGGATGAACGATTTATGTAACCCTACTATCACACCAAACTAGTTCTCACTACGTTCTCGAAAACAGGCTTCAACTGTGTACGAACGGACTGGACGTACTTAGAACCGTTCGGGGTATATTTACAAACTTCATCGAACGTACTTGAACGGTTTGGTCCTCTAGAACCTAGAACATGCTCAAAATGCTCTCGTGGTCGTCACGTTCTACAATTGACCTTTTGCGATCAGAATTCAGGTATTTTGTTTATTGATATTGTTGTCATATATTTCTTTTTATTGGTGTGACATCATATAAAAATGATATAAGACATGATGGAATCACGAAATGGCGGACATGTGATAGTTTTGAGCTTAAAATACCTAATTATTTTAGACATATTTCCCGACCACAGCCAGAATTAGCCCGTTTTACGACTTTTTCGTACGACTGGAAAGAACGGTTGAGAACTAGTTTGTCGTGATAGGGGGGGTTACATTTATATGTAGTCGTATTGGATTTGCTGCCAAATAAGTTCTTCTATTCTCCAATGGGTTCATATGGTTCAAACCGGTGAACTAGTTTCGCATGTGATAATGTAGATATTACAATATTATTAACATCTACTAAACTGAACAAAAGTAAACTTCTATTTCATTATTTAGATTACAATACCTTTTTTAAGAAACCGTTAACATAAGTTGCCAATACATTAATGGGAGTCTTAAATATGTTTAAAACTAATCAAGGGAGTACTAAAACCAACCGAAAGATGATTCCAAAGTGTCTGATCAAATAACTAATTATAAATATAAGATAAAATGTTTGTTTTTATTATTTCATTTTGTGGTTGCAAGTTTCCTTTGAGGTCAGAGGCAGACCCCTGATTACTAAATTTAAGTGGCTGATATTTTTATATTATATATTTTTTTATATCATATTTCTATATTTCTCTCTCGTTTCATAACAGGACTATCGAAGAAATGTGCCATCCTTACAAACTTGTGAAAAGAGCATCTAGAGCACTTTCCTTCCCAAAAAAATATAGACTCACTCAATTTGTCGAAAGAAGTTACGATCGAGCAAAAATCAACATCCCTGAAAAACTACAAACAAGTCACCTGGAGCACAACGCAAGCTTTGTTAAAGGCCTTGTCGATAAAGTAGGAGATCGCAACCCTATTTTCAAAGTTCGGAAAATACTCGGAACCGGAAGCTGCTATCAAAATACTAAAATAATAAGACCAGATGAGACGGACTATCTCTTGGTACTGAGTATATCAAACCGTGTGAAGACGGTTTGGGAATGGGCAAATGTATATTCGATTGAAATATGTGATAAATCTCTGCTGTTTAAACTAGAACAACATGGAATAAGTGAAGACGTCAATGGGAAGAATTGTTGTAATAGTTTACATCTAGTAAATGAATTCAAAAATCTTGTGAATGGATGTCTAAATGATCACCAAGATGTGCTCGGAGTATCGTACAAGGGAGATGATATACTATCTTGGAAACATACCCCTGCTTCTTGGGACGCATTCAAAAAACACAATCATCTACAACAAATATATGGTGAGACACTCTCGATTAAGAGTAAATGGCGTAGAGATATACGTGACCCAACTCTTGAGAAGGATCAAGTCGTACTGGATAGAATGAATCATGGCCCCAGTGTAAGAGTTCGAATCGGAGGACCTCTCTGTACCACAGATCTAGACTTGTGTCTCTGCATTGATTCACCACAAATAGAAAATTCTAGTGAAAGGTATGTTGCAGTACCTGTTTCAAAACTCGGCGAACCGTATTGGACTCTTTCGTCTTATGAGGATCCAATCAAGCTTAGGCTAGATGAAGATCACAGAAAGATATTAATGGTTTTGAAGGACTTGTTTTCTGAATGTAAGAATACTCCGAATCCGGGGAATTTAGCAGACTCTCATAATCTGAAAACATTTGTCCTTCACCACCAGGAACGATGTCTGAAGAGACCAGCTGAAGAGAGGTGCCTGGGAAATTGTCTGGACGATATAGTGCATCATATGTTTGAGAAGTACAACATGAGAATAGATGAGAATAATATCTCAGTAACTAATACACCTAGTAGTCTATCTGACATGATCTTTCCAGGGGTGCCTCTACGCATAAGTGATAGCGATGAATATAGTTCGGGTCTTCCTGTTTTGTTCCTGTACGCTTTGATGCAGCTTGTGAAGATGGACTCTCCAATCTCGGGACACAAAATCCATTCTATTGATCGCTGGTTGATCATCAATGAAGTAAACAAATACATAATAGAGAAAAGACATAAGTGGATTTTACCATTAAGTGCAATGGAACATATTAAAGAGAGCTTAATTAAATATAAACTTAGATCAGCTATTAGTTAGCTCACTTAGGTAGGAAAATATGTACATTTAAACCAAGGTAAAACCCATTTTAAATTGTTTTTATTTTTTTCAAAGGTGGGTGAGGTGTATTTTACATAATGTTGATCAGCTGAATATTCAGTAAACTGTACAGCTGGCCAGATGTATATCTGGTACAATGCACAGCTGACTAGTTACACATGGTATGATGTGCAGCTAAGCAAATATTTTTTCCAAAACGGACAGAATATTTATCATCATAGGTCCTGGAAATAGCTATTGTAATCACTCACTCAGTACGTCTGTCAACACATTGGAGCTAATTCAAAATCTCAAATAACATGATGTTGTCACTGGTACTCACCTAGTTACGCTCACGATTCGTCGCCGTAACAAGATGGAAGAACTTCCGGGCTTCGTTTTCGGTAAGATATTTTTTTATTTCTCGATTCTACACCACTTATAAGTTAAGTTGTGGACAATACTTTGGCTCATAGTCAAGGAAGATAGTGTAGTTTGAGAATATGCAGGCGGTTCTATGTTGGGTATATTAACGAAGACGCAATTCACATATTTAGTCCCTCGCTTTTGTTACGTTGACGATCTTCATGAATATTGTCTCATTTGCAGATCTAATTAAAACGAGACGTCAACGAGATCTAAAAGCTATTTAGCAATCCTTATGTTGGGTTGGATGAATCGATAAACCTGCTTTGCAGTATGAGCTTCAAAAATACAATAAATCAGTGCATTGTTTTCTGAATCATACCATGAACGTGTTGTTTCTAAATCTGCGCATTCTTCTTTTCACAAATTGCAAAATATTTTCTACAAAATCATGTAAAAGGAACGAGATCACTAAAAGACATTTTTTGCAAAGGTCAAATTGGCAAGTAGTCAAATCTAATGTGAAAATTCCAATCATCACCATTACAACATTGAGTACGTTATTGATTATTTTATGCACTGCTGTCATGTGAAATTCTGTGTTCGGATTGGCTGGAATCAGACACACCTTGCCTAGCAATGCGTGAATCGTTGATCAAACTTCTGACAACTTCTGTCCGTACAACAAAAGTTCAACCTAAGCTCACCATAGCAACGCTAGCCGTTTTCTCAGATTTCTCGATTACATATTCTAAAGAAGTAGTTATCGTTTTGTTCGTCTAGAACCTTATGAAACTTGTCAGAGGATTTCTTATTAACTAATGTCATCAATTGACGTTTTAAAGTCGACATTGACATAACTATAATATGACATTAAATTGACACAAAAAATATTGCAATAAAGTACAATTCTACTTGGTCGAGCACAAAGATTCTTTATAATGTAACAATGGTTTAATACTGATATCCACTGATAGCTACTTTGAAGAATCATTGTTCGAGTTCTGGATATTCTTTTGAAAAGAATATGGCATATATGTTTTATTGTTTGACGTTTGCAACATCAAGATACTGCTGATGACCTAGGCCTGTAGTTCATATTAGCTGAGGAGTGGCAATGAAAAATGACGTTCTTTGCACCAGGGCAAAATGCATAAAAATACACGTGTACTTTCAAGCGTTGCCATGACATAAATCTATCATGTTTGAAAATTGGTCGAACATTAACAGCGATCGGGTACAAATAACAAAAGAAAGCATATATAAACCCTCCTTCACTGATAATATATGATTTTTGTTTATCAATGATATGTCTCTAGGCACTACTACAAAGCTTTGGTAAGACATGCGGAAACACTTTGCACATAAAATGACGTGTCCTTGTATAGTTCATTACATGTTCATCAGGCGTCTTCATTGTTGCTTGTATTACGATACTGTTTCTTATGTCATCTGTTGTGGCTTTTTTTATTAGCAAATAATCGTCATTATTTTCAGGCTTGATCTCATTTGTATAGTTTGTGTAGGGATCTTGTTCTTGAAATAGAAAAGCATATTATAAAGAAATGTAAAAAATCAAGTTCCAATCCATGAGTCAACTCGTGAGTGATCTCTCTAATAGTGGTATTGATAGTTTCGACAATCATAATCATCTGGTCGAGATATTCTAAAGTCTAATGCTCTATTTAATAACACTAATAGTTTTCATTCTACCATACATTTTTATATATACTGACAAACCAGACTGCCATCTTTCCATCGACTAATCCATTAATTGCAATTGCCTTTACATTTTTCACACCAAAGAATATTTATATACGGATGATGCACGTGAAATATGTTTAACTTTTTCGAGATTTTTACCATTCGATCACCTTTAAGCATTAATTTAATAATCGAAATACCTCTTATAATCAGAAGAGCTGAAACAAATGCAGCAGCAACGACAGCAATAATCACGACTAGTAAGACGCACACGTTTTCATTCCAAACCGACTCATCCTGGGATTCTTCCCGATGTCTTTACAAACCTTGCTCGGCATCTGAGGCGTTAGGCGATCGTCAAAAGTATGGTCAGTATGTAGTTTGATAATTTTCCTCACTCTGCACTCGTTTATAGGAATACTCTTCGGTGTTACTCATTTCCAGCTGCAGTTGCTCGAATAAAAAAAAAATACAAAAATGTTGTTCTTTTTTATGCCTCACATATAGATAAACAAAGTATTTTACCATATTGAACACTTACATTTAAATGATGCAAAACAGTACATTGGGAAATATATATACAGTATGTTTTGTCATATGAAACTGAAATTCGAAACTGAAATCAGAAAAGATATAATAAGTCTAAAGTCTTCATGATTATAAGAAGCAAGAGCAACTTTTGAAGTCCTGTGTCATATGTATTCTAGTATTTTGTATACGATGCACATGTTGTTCCTATGGTACTCGAGTACTGTACCATATCAGAGACAGATACTGTACTAGCATCTTCAACGTCTTTGGTCGTAGACCAAATCGAGAGACCGGCGGGGTAAAATGATAACGATACATGCCCAAAATGTCTTGATATGTTCGAGTTTCGGTTTCGTATGATAGTGATACTAAAGAATACAGTATACACTAATCTAGTAGCTAAGGAGTATCTGCTATTTTTAAAATATCATTTGGGAAGAAGGTATATCATCTTACAGCAAACGAAATTGATAATGGAAGATAAATTTCTTATTTTATAAAGCATATTTATAAAGGGCTTGCATATGTACAACACGTAAGTTTATTATTAATATTTTAAAGCTAAAATAAGAAATAAATGAATTAAACTAAAAAAAAATCTAGATTGATCTTATTAATATTTGGGTATATCGGGTTGGTTGATCTTCGTACTTTTTATATTTAATTAAACAGCTTTCGATCAAACCTTCCTTTCCATAAAGAAATAACCAGATTTCTCCCCCAAATATTACGTTCGTAGTTTTCTTATTTCTATTTCTGTCAAAATTGATTAAAAGTAAAACTTGCTGTTAAATAAATCTAATGTTTTTTACCATTTGACCAATCTAGCTGATGATGTTACGCTTATATCACGCCAACTCTTTCTCCTTTGTATTCTTGTAAAACATTCCCCTTCTTCTAGAGCTGAACGAGGGTTCTTGAAGAATCATATGAAATTATTATTGAAACCAACTGTTCTGGCTGAACCCATACACATTGGTAAACTGTTCCTTTCATTTTGACGAAAATAATATAACATTTACAGAACACCTAATGGATTACGACTTTTGGATGATGTGCAACAACAAGTCGTCGATTTCATGTAATAAGGCAACCTATATCCTAAAACTTCTTGAAGATAGGGGTCTTCGAGGATACCTCACTCATCGCGATTCCAAAGACAAAGACTCATTAACGGAAATCTCAGAAGCAGTCGATAAATGTCAATACATTCTTATCGTCTTTGACGAGGACTTTAAAAAGGACAACTTCAGTATGAAGACGCTAGAGAAGGTCTTCAAGAAGCTCATATATACACGGCAACTTCATCGGATTATTCCCCTAGTAATTGGGGTTAAAAGAGACAAAGTAGTCCCAAGTTATGTTTCTAACTTCTGCCTTGAATTCTGTGATAACTGGAAACCAGATGATAGGCAATTTACACGACTTGAGAACACCTTGCGGTCGTGACCTACGTGACCTACGTGACTAGAATGAATGACATTGAATCTGCACATTTTCAAGTTTATTGGTTAACGGTGAAGGAAGTTTAGTGCTGTAAGTTCCGCACCTTTATCAAAAACAAAATGGAGCTACCATAATTTGCTAACATAAATGAAATAGTGTTAGGGCTGAGTGAGTTTATATTGATTCAAACTGACTCAAGATAAACATAATACGTCAAACAATAAATTGTCAACTGACAAAAATTATCAATCTACTTTCGTTTTGTATGATAAAAAGACATGTGTCAAGTAGAATAAAATATTTTGTTTATGTCACATTTGCATTCTTTATTCAAGATGGCCACCGATGATACAATGCTTACATGGAAGGTCAAGTGCATCACGTGATCACGTACATGTCAAGGAGACAAGTTTTAAGTAATCATTTCATTTACAGATTGCACAAGTCATATTATGTAAACCAAATGTAAAATAATGTAATTTTACAATTTGACTCATCTTTTTAATTCATATTCCTGACCAAGGACGTCTATCATAGCCGTCCTTGCCATGATTAACGAGATAAACCTATATACATATATATTATTATACTTGTCATATTTATATTATTTACAAATTTTATACTGAATAACATAACATCGTTTGTAACAAATAAGACATCAACATATGATCACATTAATTGCACTCAGTGAGACAGTTGCTATGATCATAATTTAAAGCTGATTCCAACAGACCAAGTTAGCATAAATGAGGCTAGGAAGTGAGCGTATAACTTAAATACCACAAACGTTTTATGACATCACGTCCGAAAGTCTTGGACGCCATACTCTAATTTTGTTGGTTTTAACAAAATTACTTAAAACCTTCCAATACTAAAGAGCAACAATCTATAAATAATGCCGCTATTTGACTTGTTTTGCTATTCTTGACGAGACGACCATCTCTCTCTCAATTTTAAATGTTAAACCATGTCAGTTAACTTCCTTTGTTACAGGCAACCAAACTCTGTTTAATTGTGATGCCACATATGACAATGCATATGTCAAAGTCTAAAAAATGACATCAGACAAGTAAGCCACATTCTGGGTATCATGTTTGCTCCAAGATGGCTGCTGAAATGCAGAACATGCAAGAAATCAGAGTGAAACAAAGAATACTACAAGTATTCTCAGTATCATTGAACTTGAGCAGCTACAACATGCGCCATACAGTCAAAATATGGCTCCGTGTGATTTTTTCCCTTGCCATATTAACACGTGTGACGTATTTGAGTTTTTTAAATACCGTTGCGGATGACAGGGTTCTCATATTAAAATCTAGAAAATTACCTAAAACTATTTAATTTCACCCCTCGTACATATCGAGTTCTTATCAGCTTAATGAACTATAATTGATTTTTCCTTTTGCATTAAAAACTTTAGTTATTACTGTTCAAATATGGTAAATAATATATTTTATTTTTTATCAAGAGTGACAAAATACGATGTTGTGTCTTTTGCGTACAAGGATTTACTTGCATGACCTTTACAAATGCTAGCATAAGGCTGTAATGCATAGACATCATATCCATGTGTCCCATCCGTAGCTTCGTACCGAAAGTCATAGTCACCATCTTTATATCTGTGACAATTCCTCAGCTCACAGAGAACAACAGTTGCGTTACTAAAATAGTTAATGACATTGTAGCCTTTTTCACACGCATGTAGCATGCATTGTCGTAAATCCCGGGCAGTCGAGACTTTCTCAAAACGACTTGGGTTACAATTGGACTTCTGACAGGATGGTGCCATACGTCTCAGTGTAAACATGTCCGATTTGCAATTTGGAGTACCAGGGTGAGGGACAATCCACCATTTCGCAAATACCCCATCGCCATAACATTTGTTGTCATAGAATTTCCAATATGTGCCTTCGTGGTTTGAATTACATTTATAGGCAAGATATTTATTATCCCCGTTTATGTGAATAAATGTATTTGATCCCGATTCGCAAAAGTCATTTGGTATTTCTTGGTTTGTCGATTCTAACAGCTCTGCATTGAAATAACCAGGATGTCCACATTGTCCTAGAAGAAGCACCGGGAATTCGACTGGTTGAGTTTTAAGTAAATTCTTACAAGATTTGATCTTATGAGACAGACTATATACCACTGAATGTCCATCTTCATTTTGTCGTAGATCGAATACATAATCGTTCGCAGTGATATCCCATCCACAGTGTTGTGTTTCACATTCCATTCCTCTATAAGATCCATTGACAATAAAGTTGAAAGTATTTCCTTTATCCATGCACGCTTTGTCCATACATTCTGCTAAGCTCTCAACGATAGTATTTGAAATAGTGAAACACGTCGCCCGAACATTCGCCACTGTTCTGTTCATGAAATGTGAGTTATGACACGGTTTTGCATAACTATGTGGCCGTGCATATGTCCTCCCCGAACTCGTCGCGGCAATCGTCCATGTGTACGCCCAGTCTAATCCATTCAAATCCGATTCACATTTATACGCTGCGCACTCCACCTTTGGATCGTAGTATACAACATTGGCGTTTGACTTACATGCAAGGTTGAAGCAATGCTCTCTGGAGTAAAACAACTGCTCTGTCAGAATCCCAATAACCATTCGCTCACAGCTTGGACGAATTAGATCGCTGCCATTAACTTGATCATTGCGTCGGACCAGCAAGTAGTCGCCAGATGGACATGTATCATCTGTAACTAGAAAATTATATGCTTCATAAGTAAGTCAAACATTTATGAAAACATACCATCTTGACCAAAGGAAGTTTTTTATCATCTTATACATGCATGTTTACAATAATTGCCTCTCATTTAAAATTTACCGCCAACGTCATAAAAAGCCAAATAATTGTAACATCTAAAGAGTATTCTCTCTCTTCATTGGACTCAGTAAAGATAAAGGTCACATGCATAGGTCAGGGTCACCTACAAGCCTAGAAGTCACACCATGGACTGCCTAATGATAAAGAAGCTAACGTTTGAACATATTACAAAATGACATTTTGTGAAAAACGGACCTTTAGTGCTGCCAAGGTACCAGTGCAGTGAATATGATTTTACTATACATAGCTTCAGTTTTTCGATCCGAATTCAATAGATATATTATTATAATGGAAAAACTTACGTAGGAATGACGTCGTGTTGGTAGCATTTGTTCCAGTATTATCAGCCATGTTATTCTTTACCAAGCAATTGTTAACGTCGATGTTGTTCGTTCCGAAAATTTCTATTTTATCAATTGTGCTTAGGTTTGTTGCACGCAAGCACTCGCGCAGGGTGCTTTGTGGGGACTCTGGATAACCACACCCATTGTTACTTTTTTCAATGAAATGTGGACATTGTGAACCTGCATACAAATCAATTTATCAAATCAATTTATTCCATCTAATTTAAAAACTTAACTTAATGAGTATTGTCGCTGTGACTGTTAAATCAGAATACAAAGAATATATGGACGTCTATTTGTGAAACAATTCAAAAACCACTCCGTTAGGAATAAAGACAACAAAATAGGCAAAATGATTCGACTTCTTTTTTCAAAATAGTTTAAAGGTATTAAAGGTTACCTCTAGTCAACGAGGCTGTGATAAAAACTATTCCCATTAACACTGCAGTAACTGTACACGCCAAAATAACGGCAACATACAATGTGCGGCGTGTTACTGTATTCGTTTTTTTCTCATGTTCTTCCAGAAGAGGGCTTCCGGTATCAGATATTTGCTCATTTCTCTTTCCGATGTCACTCCCGTCATCTGTTCTATCTCCTTTTCCTGGCATTACGCAATGTTTCTTTTTAGTTTCTCTAAATAATTTTCGCACCGAATATTTGTAACTTGTTATTGTATTTCTCTTTTCTTAAAATGAAACCTTGATACTGTTCCGTTCAAAATTAGGTCTCGTAAATCAGCTAGCTATCTTATATACTTTAAACTTGACTATGCCAATGTAAGTACCACTTGCTAATGTTAAATGGATCATTCCTAAGAAAACGATTTAGCATAGCTTTTATTGCCAACGATGTATCTATCATATAAATATGTACATATGAAACATTTAATCTGGTGGAATTAAAAGAAATAAAATCATTTCTTCCTCCACAGTAGATTCTTTGAATCTTTTTCGATTTCTGTTAATGTTTAATAACCATGATATGCAACTTGAGTTTAGAGATGTATCTTGGGGACATGAACTACTCCAGGCTGAAAGTAAATAAACATAAAAACAATACATAACTAATATATCTTGTATATCATTCAAGTGCTTTCGTTTTGGTAAGCAAAACACTTAAAAAACAATGACACATATTTCAAGAACACGTATCAAGGTGATTCAATGTTTACGCAACTTTCACCAACATTTGACATAACTACTTCTGTACTCGCCACTCTTACATAATGCCAATGTTTCAAAACATATTTTCTTATCCTATTTTTATTGAAATATGTACCTAAATATTCAAACAAATGAAAAGACTAAAAGGAATACAACGAGTCATATAGAAAACAAAAACCCAAATATCCCAAAACTATGATTTAACGTGTAAAGAAATAGATTGTCAAGGTCAGACTCATTTTTTATCGAATCATACGGGACTCAGATCTGACGTGACAAATATTCTATTGAGGTCATCATTGTTGAGTTTGATTGGTGAAAACCGTGCTAGCATTGAAATTCTCGTGGCATCCAACAGTATATTAGAAGCGACTTAATCTTTGAACGCACTTTTGACTCTGCCGACAACAACAAAACGTCAATAGTTCAATTAATGACAATGACTGTCATTATCGTATATTACATGATCAATATATCATCAGGTATAGTTTCGTTTTGTATGGTTTGAACTGTTTCACTCACATAATTAGAGGATACGTTTATTGATAACGTTTCGTCTGATGTTGTTTAAGGCCGACTTTTGGACATATCTATAAAATAATGAAGTCAGTATCCTCGCAAACGATTGAAATAAATCCTACATGCTCCGTTTATCAATCAATATTATTTTACATTTATTTTAAATATACTTCTGCGTTCTATATTTTGCTTCGTGTATATATAATTAAGGAAATGTAATCGGGTATGTTCAGTAGTTATTTGTTTAACAGGCAGGCAAAACAGTAAAAGCGTTACGATTTATTAAGGTGGTCTTTGAATTGAGTTTACCTCCTGGTTGGTTCCAACTCAAAATGGTGTCCGAGGAAATGATATACATGCAAGAATATATAAGCACAAATGCCAAAGGGAAGGGTGACTAAAAACTTTGAAGAAACCCAACAAGAAAAGCAAACCTTAAGTGTAAATCTGTCATAAGAAAAGTAGACCCTATATATCCCAAAACCATGATCTAACGTGAAAAGAAACAATGTCTCACATCCCCCTCCCCCCCTCCAATCGAGAACCAAGAAGTTGATACTCATCTACACATACAGTCTGTTTCTCTTAATTAAACAAATTAAAATTATATATTTAAGATAAAATATTGATTTGTAAAAACTAGGGCTATTGGTGTATCATGAAATGTTGTTACACGTTCTATTATAAATTGTATCATGAAAATTATATATCATAGATAAATAAGTAACAGGTAAAAATGAATAGATGGGTCGATGAGGAATATATACAATATCATATTCAAAATTGAAATGCCACGATTGTTTACATACCTAACAATATTGTTGCTTTATAATCAAACAATACAACAGTAGTTGTTTTACTTCCTTTTTTATAACAATACATATATAATACCATCTGTAATTGTTACGATCGAGATTGTTTTGATCCGATAGTGCTCTTTAGCAATAAATTATCCTATAGTTCACAGTTGTGATTTAAATATATCCCATCTTCAAGATTTAATTAACAAAGACCAAAAATAAACATTTTTAAAATCACAATTACAGTACATTACAAAAACCTAAAACTAAATATACAAAAACTATGACACAAAGGCAAAACCAAGAGATTGATTTCAGGTCAAAATAGCATAAAGGATTTTGACAGTGACACATCAACATGTAGATATGTTGGCAGACATCCAGTGTCAACTGCGTTGTCAAAAAATCACAAATGACTCATAAAGCACACTAAGCAATATTCCATAAAACAAGAATGTTTGCCTCAGTGTGTGTGACTAATTTCATGTAAAATGTGCCTCGAAGACAAAACGAAATATATTCTATGCCAATGACCTTTATGCCAGTGACTTTTGGTCACGTGTCGATATGACTGGAATGGTATTCATACACTTTCTAGGGCCCACTACACTGTAGTTGATGGCGATGAGAGTTTTACACGGACCGTATCACATCATCATAGCGTTTTGCAACATGCATGGTGTTATAACAGAAGTGTTTAGCCAGTCAATGGTATGTTCCTAGACATTACTACATAGCTTTAGTAAGACATGGGGAAACACTTTACACATAAAATGATATGTCCTTGTGTAGTTTATTCCGAATTCATCATGCGTTTGAATTGTTATAATACTATTGTCTGAGTCATCTCTTGAAGGCGTGGCGTTTTGAATTGTTAAGTCATCGTCATCATTTTCAGACTCGTTATTGTCCTTGTACTTTGTGTCATAATCTTGCCCTTAAAATAAGAAAGAAGAATGGTGAAGTTCACTTTGAATAACAATCGAGTTTTGTTTTTTTGCATTACTGCCAAGTGATAACTCTGACAGTAGTGTTGATGGTTAGGATGATGAGCTGATCAAGATGCAAAAATGCAAAGTTTAGGCCTCACGTTCTTTGGGTTTTATTACACACTAATTAGGTTCTCATTTTACCATAGACAAAAGGCTGAAAGAAATATTGCTAGCCAATGTTTTTTCTATATTCTAAATTGTTGACAAATTGGACTGCTATTTCTTTCCATTGACCAAGAACCTGTAAATTTTACATGTCAAAGAATCAATACTGTGTGTGAAACATCATGTTTACTGGTCTTCTTACATCATGGCATTTGAATATGAATGGATGATACGAGTCATATTCACAAGTACAACCATCTTAAGGAAAGCAAACACCAAATATCCCAATATATGATCTTCAGTGTAAAGAAGCAATCTAGAACCCCTCACCCACAATTCAGGAACCATTATTACAATCGGATACCACAAGACCACGGGTCATTTCATTAGTATCAAAAATCATTATAATGTATATTAAAAATAGAATTAAAATTCTAATACGATACGTATGATACGTGACGTTGCAATAGCTAGAACAATTGATTTACTGGTCGGAGTATGTGTGACTGCTAAAATTAATAAATGCAAATAGTTGTGTTTCTTCTCTGTTATGACATTAGAATCTTAACAAAGACCTCGATTTTATGATTTATGTCAAATATATGACGCGATTTAGATCTTTTATCAATGAACAGAATACAATTTTTGGTCATATCGGTCGAAATGTTGAGACATGCGCAGAGCTCTATTTAGTGATATTTTCATTTCAAATATGGCGGCCAATCCGATGTCTGACGACCCTTACAAAGAATCTAGGCAGTGTACAATTTTTGGTCATATCGGTCGAAATGTTGAGACATGCGCAGAGCTCTATTTAGTGATATTTTCATTTCAAATATGGCGGCCAATCCGATGTCTGACGACCCTTACAAAGAATCTAGGCAGTGTACAATTTTTGGTCATATCGGTCGAAATGTTGAGACATGCGCAGAGCTCTATTTAGTGATATTTTCATTTCAAATATGGCGGCCAATCCGATGTCTGACGACCCTTACAAAGAATCTAGGCAGTGTGCATTTTTACCTCCTGTGAAATGACAAGTGGAATTTAGTAGTTGTTTTGTGTTTTATTATCATTCTGCATCGTAATTCTATGTGATGTGGTGTTGAAATGTCAGCAGAAATACATATCCATACGATAATCGAGTGAATCAGATAACAGATTTTTCGAAAACCCGTCTCGTGCTAAGAGTGTAAAAACTTGTATTAACATGCTCATAAGTGCCAATGTGCACATCAATGTCAAGCTAAATCAATGTTGTGTCTAAAACACGTACCTGATCTACTCAAAACAGCTTGTCATTCACGTATATACACGCTTAGTAAACACGGCGAAATGATCTGAATCTTGGAATTTCGTTCGAGAGCTAGTTATGTTTGCTCCGGTCTTCGTCATAAGTGTTCATCAGACTTCACGCATGCTCATGAGAAAAACCATCAACCAATAACGTTTATAAATCAATTTTGCGCATGCACCTTACAACGGTAAAGAAATTCGTATTTATAAACGAACCAATTTGAGATAAACCGATGTCAGTCGGAGAAATCTGACGATCTATGAAAGTCACTTCAAAAAATCAAATGCGGACTGACGGCGTATTCTACTATGCTTGGATCTAAGATTTTCAGTATAGATAATGTCTTTTATGATCTTTCGAATGAGGTAAGTCTCTAGTTCGAAAGACGTATCAACTTGACCAAAAGTTGAGTTTTGACGAAAAATTTTAACATGCGCAGAAGTCCCATTTTCGTTGTAACATATTGTCTGATATATTACGCCACAAGTCATAAAATCTCGGTCTTTATCAAATAAAAACCAAAAATCTTGACACCATCGTAGATACTTTACACTAGGAGTCATACAGATAACATTCAGTCTAAAATTATGTGGGACAAATTGAATCTAGTCTCGAAGTTCATTAAGAGTATTGCAAATGGTCAACATTCATCCATGTAGCCGAGCGTGCTTTTTATAATCATTTCTACCACCGTTCAGTATATAATCAAATTACCTTTTATAATCAAAACAA